CCCGGAAGTCGGGCGTGCGCTGGGCTTCCTAGTGCATTCAGTCATTATTTTGGACCATGCTTTTTTGTGTCTTTGATTGGGTTATAATACTCTCGTTCTGGATTAAATTTCGAAAATGAGACATTTGAACTTGGGACATATTCACACTCGATCAACTAGAATCTCAATATGTTTACATTGAATGGCTTCCCATGATACTTCTCGGGTCTGCATGCGCTCTTACTGCGCAACAAGCAGGCTCTCTTGAGGGAACAAGCGAAAATCCAGCGCCCTCGACGCTTTTCGAACCAGCACTCGGAAGGGTTACAAAGCCTGTCAAGCGCTCACTTCCGGGACAAGCCGCTTACTTCCGGTGGCGTCATACCTGTTTGCTCAATGCGCCATCCAGCCCCCTCTAGTGGAGATCAGTGGTTTTTACCAGTGATTACGCTTGGACGTTTCGAACACCGACCTAATTAGATGTTTGACAGCCCGACTTCCGTTCCACGATGCACGCGCATTTCAGCTTTGTTTCGCGCTTAGCAGGTGGGCATGCTGTTTACTCTTTTAGTGTATGACTCGCAAACGTCGATCTGCATTTTCCTATATTCATAGCTTCTTTCACCCCTTCCGTTTTGTTATGGCCTCCACTAACTGTTTCAAATACCACGAGCCTTTACTTGTTAATGGGAGATACCTGATTTGCGCGAGTTGTGAAAACAGCTATCACCTCGGAAAGTCATGTGCCGGTGTTGCTGCGAGCACATTCAACTCCATGAGTTCAGCGAAACGAGAACAGTGGCTCTGCCATCTGTGCCGCACCTCTGTGACAAAGTCGACAGGAGGAAGCTTGGAAACGCATTCGCATACAGAGTCCGCGTCATTTGCAGCCCAGTTAGCCGAGGTAAACAAAAAAAATCGACTTGCTTCTCTCTCTCAAGAGTAGCGTAAATTCGCTCGCCAAGCTTCCGGCAAAAGTCGATGAGCTGCTCACCGTTAAATCCGCGGTTGATGCCGTGAAACAATCTGTCAATGAGGTGCTTAAGTCAGTAGCCTTCTGTTCAGCTCAGTATGACGCTCTGCTCAAACAAGTGGCTGAGCAGGATGCTACTGTTGCAGAGTTACAGAAAGAGGTGAATTCTTTAAAGTTCTCCATTTCAATCCAATCAGAGGAGATCCAACGACTCAGGTCTGAGCTCAACAACTCCGAGCAATTTAGTCGTCGATCTAACCTTAAGATCCATGGCCTTCCATGCAGACCCAATGAAGATCTTCCGGTTGAGCTTGATGATAAAGCACAAAACTCGGCATTTCCAACTTCCATCCTTCAGAGGTTGAGGCCATTCATCGCCTGCCCTCTTCGCGTGATACCATTCCCATTACGTTGGTCAGGATTCACTCTGCGCGTGCTAGGGGCCCCTGGTTGAGCTTGCGTAGCTCACTGGGTACTCTCGCCCGCGAACGAAAACTCCTTAAACTCTTTTTTAACGAGAACTTGACACAGACGAACAAGGAGCTCTTTTGGACAGCACGGGCGAAAAGCAAAGTGAAACAATATCGATATGTCTGGACTAAAAACGCGAAGATCTACGCAAAAAGAGCAGAGGGAGCCCCACTCATTCGCATTACCTGTGTCAATGACTTAGAGCTCATTGCCTAGCAACCATGACCTTCACATTTTTTGACTGCGATGATTTCAATTCCATCTTGTGTAATTTTCACTCCTCAACTAGCGGGTTCACCATTTTTCACACTAATATTCGTAGTGCAAGGAAGTATTGGGAGCAATTCGGTCTTATAGCCAATTCCCTGTACGATCTCGTCGACGTGTGGGTCTTAACGGAGATAAATGTACCAGCTGCCTCTGTTTATCAATTCTCAATACTTGATTATCAGCAATTCTTCTATAATCGCTCTGACAGGACAGGTGGAGGTATTGGGATTTTTGTTAAAAATTCATGGTGTACAGAACAGTTAAAAAATACTTTCGTTCATGCAGAGTCCGTCACTTTCAAAATTTTCAACTCAGTATACTCTATTACATTAGTCGCCTCCTATCGCCCTCCATCAGAAAGCGCTTCGCCTTTTTTAGTTGACTTGCTTGGCTGACCTTCAAGCCGAGGAACAACTTTGCGTAGTCGGCGACATGAACCTTGACACTTTGAAACCCACAAAGTCAACCGTATGTGACTACTTGAATCTTCTCTCAGAATTTGGTCTCAACTGTACAATTAAAGCACCTACCAGAGAGGAAACTTTGAATGAACACCTTGTTTCTGCTTGTCTAGACCACATGAATATACGCACTCACGGCCTTTCAGTTCAGTCTGCTGTCATTTCGCAGAAACTGGCAGATCACTACTTTACCGCAGTTCAACTGGTTTCCGATACGCCTCTAAGACACGCCTGTCCGGAAACAAGACCTATAGAGGTTGGTGATCGGAAATTATTCGACAAATTAATCTCTTCTTATGATTGGGGACGTTTACTAACATATTCAAATCAAGAACTCCACACGAAGTTTATTAATCTGTAGAAGACTTTTACAAGATGCAGTAAAAAGTAATTACTATCAGAAAGCGGCGTGCAGAACATATATGGTTGAATAATGACATTATCGCCGCGATTAAGTATAAAGAGATATTGTGGACGCGTTGTCGTCGCTCTCTTGATAACATAGACCTGCGGAATGAATTCCGAAGTGAGCGCAACAAAGTCACTGCATTAATTTGTTCCGCTAAACGTAACTATATTAAACAGAAGTTAATAGATTCCCGTTATGATTCCCGTGTAACGTGGTCTGTTGTAAACGATTTACGAGAAGGCCACAGTGGAAAACATTCTGTCGACGAGACGGTCGCCAGATATTTCCCTTGTAACAAACAATCTACGGCAAATGCGTTTAATGTACATTTTGGGAAAACTTTAAATGTTTCACGCGATAGTGAAGTTTGTCTCTCAAAAGCAACTTCGGTGAATGTAGCGTCTTCCTTCCTTCCTGAAATTACAAAGCAAGGTTTACATAGTATGTTGCTTAGTTTCAGGCCGGGTTTGTCTCCTGGAATCGATGACGTCCGGATGGCTGATTTGCGGAGAAATTATGCACCATTGAGGCATGTGATACTAAAAATGTTGAACGGTTTCATAACGTCAGGTAATATTCCAGAAGATCTCAAAACAGCCACTGTCAGTCTTTTATACAAAAATTGGGATCATAGTAGCATCGAAAGCTACCGCCCTATATCTATCTTGCCTTCACTGGCGAAACTTTTAGAAAAACACAATTTCCTGACAATGTGAGCGTTTTTAGAAGAATTTAACCTTACGTCTCCCCAACAGTACGGTTTCGTTATGGGTAAAGGCACCCAACCCTTACTTGAAGTCTTTTCCGATGTTCTTCATAATGCGTTTGAACATAATCTTTTCACGTGTGCACTCTTTCTAGATGTTTCTAAAGCTTCCGACTGAGTCTCACATAAGGTACTTTTACATAAGCTGTTCAGCCTCGGCTTCAGAGGCCCTTTTTACAGACTGCTAGAAAACTTTTTGTCAAATCGTACACAACTCGTTTCAATATGTGGAGCTCGGAGTTAGAAAATGTCCCTAAAGGCTGGTGTTCCACAGGGCTCGATACTGTCGCCTCTTATTTTTAACATCTATGTCAATCTTTCGAAGGCTGTCAACTTCTGCACAGTATTTCAATACGCTGACGATACTGTCCTGTTGTCGAGTCATGTACGATACCATGAGGCTGTTGAGCTACTCCAATCAGATGTATTACGGCTCATGAACTGGTTTTCAACAAATGTCATTAGAGTAAACGCGAAGAAAACACAACTAGTGTGCTTTCGTAGTCCACTGAAACAGGTTCTTTTAGACAAACCAATTTTTCTTCACACGTCAGACTGTGTTTCTTGCAAATGTGCGCCAATTCTTTAAGTGAACAGTACGAAATATCTGGGACTTTATTTTGATTGCGACCTGTCATGGAACTCCTCACTTCTTCTATATTTTCAGAAAATTACGAGCCGCTTCGTGCACCTTATATAATCTTCGCATACTTCTTCCCATCAAAACAAGAAGACTTCTGACGCACGCCCTTGTTTATAGTATTCTCCGTTACGGAATAACTGTATTCGGACAGTGTACAGCCCTATTAGAGCCTAAAGTGAACTACTTACTGAATGGCATCCTGCGCAGTGTAGCTTACGGTTCTAGTCTCCAGAGATCTGATAACCTCTTTAATGACCTCTCGCTACCAACTTTTAAATCACTATTTTTGGAAACAGTAGTGTTCAGGCACTACTGGGATAACACTTTTAAGACCCCCAACACTGTTTGTCGCGCCCTTCGAGACGTGAGGCCGTATCAAACGCCGCGCATCAAAATACATTTTGACAAATGCGTTTGCCTCTATTATGTATCCCATATTTTTAACAACCTCCCTTCTGTGCTACTCGACGGAAGTTCTCGAGGAGCTTTGAAATGTAAATTAAAAACTCTTTGCCTAGACATCATTTTTTAAAGTGCCGATTAATTTTTTTGTTTTCATTTTGTTTTCTACTTTATTTGACTTCTGTGCGCTGTGCACTACTGCCCTGTTTGTATATATTTCTCTCTATCACGCGTTCTAGATCTCTGAAAGGTTTATGCTAACTTGCTTTGAGTGTGCCTTAAGTAATTTGTAAGGAACTAGTCCTACACGCCTGAAGGGCTTTGACGGTTCCGATATGTGTATATAGCTGTATTTGAAGCACCTGCATTAAATAATAATAATAATATTATTATTATTATTAGTATTAGCATTAGTATTATCACCTGCACATCAACTTTCATGAAAAATTCAACTCATTACCTTCAAAAATAAAGATCTGTGGCTTTTCTGCATTATTTATGTAATACCACGCTTTGTGTAATATTTCGAAGGACGTATTTAAAAAAATAAAGGGAAGTGACGTGAAATAAATCGAACATTTCGTGAGGCAGTGTGAACTGGCTTTCAACTCTCTTTCGTCGGACAGAGCGACTTCTTCGGGGGCGGTAACCAGACGATGCTGCTGAGCGGGATTCAGTGCACCGGCGACGAGAAGAACCTGGCGGACTGCCTGCACGACCAGCTGGGGAAAGTGACCTGCCCAGGTGTCGAAGACAACATTGCCGGCGTCATGTGCACTGACGGTGAGGGTGGGAGTTTAGGGGCTCTTTAGAGCACTTCACGGGCATGTAAAGAACTAGCGATATAAGTAATGATTTACAATTATTCTTCCCGTTTTGATGAAGCCGGCTTATCGCCCCTCCAAAAAATACTGAATCCTTGAGTAACGCCGAAGTAACGTCGTTAGATTCGGAAGTAACAAGAACGGTATACGGCCAGCAAGTGTTCCCCAATGTGTCTTCGGCGCATCGGAACGCGAGGAGAAGCACGCCACTCGAAGGGCAACATAGAGAAGGCGCAGAGAACGAGTGATGACGAAACAGCCAAACACGCGCCGTCATTAATTGAGCGGTCGGGGGAAACAAAAGCACTTTGGGGCGTTTGAAGCTAAACAAGCACACGAGGTGCGCGAGAAGCAGACCAACTTGTATGTTGTACTCCGTTACGTTTGCAGAACGGTGACGAATCTCAGAAACGCCTTAATCTTTGAGGAACTAACGCGTAACGCTTACCGCCGAATTCAGAAACCTCACTAAAACTACACTCAAACTGAAGGGCCTCTCCACTTCCTCGAGGAAGGCTCAAGGGCCGGCGCTGGCCAATCGCGACGGCGGATCCGTCCTCGCGATTGGCCAGCGCCGGCCCTCCCGCCTTCCTCGAGGAAGTGGAAGGGCCCTTCAGTTTGAGTGTAGTTGGAGTGAGGTTTCTGAATTCGGTGGTTAGGGCGCCTCAATAGACAGTTTTAGTGGACCGTACGCTATAGCTTTGCGTACGCAAGGAGATTGCGGGTCGTGAGTGCGCGTGCGCAGAACGCAATAGAAGGGATAGCGTATTGCGTACGCACGCAACGCTGGGGATTTTGCGTTGCTGGCTAGCGGGCCTTGCGGGACGCTCTCGAGAGATCTCGGGCCCAACGAGAGCGCGAGTTTCAAGATGGCGGTTGCGTCGAGTGGCGCAGCAAGTGCGACGTGGTGTTTTCGTAGTTCTGTGTTACGTGAAATTGCGTGGTGTTCAGCTCGGCGATTCTTTCTGGGACCTACCGCGGTCGAATCAGATCGCCCTGCAGCTGAAGGAGTGCACAGTGGAAATGTTCGCCGCTCGCAGTGTGCGTCGACGCTGCGATCTGCTCAACGCTAAGCCTATTCCCACAGTTCATCGCCGACGGACGAACGACTTTAAAAGAAATCGCGGAAGTTCTCGCTATGCACTGGACATCAGGGTCATGAATTTCATTCCGCGATAGCATTGATAAAAGGTGCCGTTTCCATGGGACGACTGACGGAGGCTCCGTGATCGAATTTGGCTGCGCACTCGTACTCGTAGCCTCTGTAACCCGCAGAAAAGCGCGCTTGACGAGGCAGCTGTGGCTTGGTTTAATCTGAAATAAAATGATCGGACACTTTTTCTTTTTCAATATTTCTTTCCAGGAGCATGGTTGCGCTATAAGCACGCGGAATTCTATGGCTCTAGCAAATTTAACCAAGATCATGCGCGGTGTTCACTCGAAAACGTAACGCACAACTAAATTCGGTCTGAGCAGGTCATTTTTAGCGTACGCTATACTATTGCGTATTGCGTACGTAAGAGCCAGCAACGCTATACTAAAACTGTCTAATGTCCTTCTGTTTAGGCTGATGCCACCCTTTGTAGTACCCGATGCCGACAGCACGCGCTCATGGGTAAAATACAAAAAAATCGACGAAAACAAAATGTCGCCATAGCACAGTCAGCGCCAGAAACGCGTGCAGGGACACGCTCTTTCACGCGCTTCTGAACAAAAAATAAAAATAAAAGTGTGGGACAAAATGGCCAGATGTCTCCACCCTAAGCAAAGCGCACATGAAGGCACCCAGTAACGCTTTTTAGTTACTTTCAATTACGGGCGTAGCACTGAATATTTTACTTGCATTGTCTATGCCATAACAGTCTTGCATGTCATAACAATCTTGCATTACTTGCAAGACTGTTATTATCATTGATAATAACAGTCTTGCGTCAAGAGCGCCTTCTCTTGCTACTGGATCACGTATTACGGAAGTAACCTTTTGTATATATCACGTGATCCGTGCCGCCCCCAGTTGGTGATAAGCGTGTGTCTCTGCTATGTTGGCGAACAGAGCTGGCCGACCTTGTGATCGACGAGCAAGAAGTCGAACGATCTGCGTACCTCGAGGATCGTCAGCTGCTCTACCTCCAGTGCGCCATGGAGGAGAACTGCCTCTCCACATCGGCGTACGCGCTCAAGAGCGACCCCGGTAAGCTCCGCTCATGATACCATCTAGCTTGCCATTTCGTCCACTTGCTTATGAACACTGGTTCCAACTATTAAAGAAACTCCAAACACCCATAAAACATTTTTAAGCGCTTGTACGTCACAAAATATTTTTTTCTTAATTTTTTTTTTTTCGCGGAACATTTACGTTGCGAGGCAGATTTTAAGTTAAAGGCCAATCTATACAAAATTGTATTCTGCCGGGAAGAATACCGGTTCCCAGTTTTCCTCTCTCCATTTCTTCTCGCACTCTTCTCTCCTCCTCTTTCCACAACAGAGGACCTCTGAGCTACTCTCCACAGAAAGGAGGAGGGTCTCCCTCTTTCTTGAAGAGAAAGAAGGAAATGGCGGAGAGTTTTTCTCCTTTCTGGTAGGTTGTCGATTCCAAAGCGCGAATCCAAAGTGTGCTTCTAATTCAAAACATAAATATTGATTTTTTCTTCTTTTTTTTTTTTGCGGGTGCTCTCTTCTTCCGCTTTCCCCCCCCCCCCCCCCTTTTTTTTTTCTTGCCTCCCGCCTCCCGCAAAAACAAAAAAAAAAGTCATTCATGTCGTTTAACACCCAAGGCTATGGTGAAGAAAATAAGAGAACGTCTTATGGTGAATTCCACTCGTAGATCTCGAGCGCTTTCCAAAATCCGCGAGGGAGGGAAAATTCCGCTCTGTGGGACCCGCTCCGAATTGACGAGGGGAAGATAAGCTTGCATTTTTGGAGCGACCTCCCCCACACCCCTCCCCACCCCTTCTCCCTCCGCCGTACAAAATGGCCGCTGCTCCAACTTGACTAGCCCACCAACGCCGGCTGATCTTTCCGACGACCAGTGACGACTGTCACTGCTTAACTGCAGAAGTAACACGCGACACAAGCCGGGCGTGATTATACGTACCGCGGCGCCCATGTCACAAATAACGAAGACGTCCGTGTTCGGCACCGTCACATACCTTTCGGCCGCCTTAAAGCGGCGGGGCACGGACAGCGATTGCCAGCGGTGGAGTTCAGATTTGTAGTACGACTTTAATAAACACAGAGGTAACAAACCATCACTTGCGCGGTCGTTGCCTAACCACTTCTTGCTTTATTTCACGGGAAAACGCCGAGGGAATGCGGTGTAAAAAGGTAAACAATCACTGGCTGCAGAATGAATAGGCCTAACCTTGCGTCTGCCTCCGGCTTTTCTGTCGTTCCTTTTCTCGTTCTTCCTCTCACTATCACAGACGTCAGCACTTACGATTTGCCACGCTCCACATTCCCGGCTTTTTATCCCTGATCTACGCGAGGTAGAAGCGTTCGAGCCGTCACAATCCAGAGTAAACAACCGACACACCCGAACAGATCCAACTCCACGACCCGACCGGCCCGCCGATCTCTCCAACCTCGCCGCGCATGCGCACCGCCGATTTAGACGGAAATCACGTGGGCCGCTTTGTCAACTTCCGGAGAGATCTGTGAAACCCCGCAGAGCAAGTTCGGCGGAGTTTGGGGTGCTCCGTGGAACGGGCGCTGCCAGAGATCTACGAGCGGAAGATGACCAACTTGAGCCAGATCTGCGAGCGGAATATGCGCGCTCCAAATGGAGCGCTTTTGGGGCGCTCGAGATCTGCGAGCGGAATTCACCATTAGAGTCAGCTAACTGGTTTATTTCTCAAGCAACCTATATAAACTCACACAGTCACTCTCATTCACGTTCTACAGAGAAATATTTTGGTGAACGCAATTTCAAATATAAATATAATACCCATTCACAAGAGATCAAGTGGTCCAACCAACAATACCATCATTATCAACCACTTTCTATCCAGAGATCATTTTCAAATGCAAAGAACACATACAAGAGACCACGTGGTCATACCTACAATACAGTGACCATTTAATGTGGAAACTCAAATTGTCCATTCGGTAAAGTAGTGGCTAAGAAGCCCACAGATTCATGAACACGAATTAGTGAGATATTCATTATGAAGAGTAATCTCATTGTCCCAGATCAAGTTTAGAAAGCTTAGCAAGAATTTAATTTAGAATGCATATTATCGTGCACTGCATAATGCTCTGCATCTAAGGTCGCTCTGTAAACAGGTGCCAACAATGTGCTCCGCCATAAATACAGAAAAGTCTTCTGGTGCAGCAAGAAAAAACAAATCTTGATTGTTTTATTTGATAATTTATTTTGTTCACAACCGCGCTCGCAAACAATAAAAAGCTGTTGAGTTATGGCTTCCCGCTTTAATTTCTTTTCTGCTAAACTATATTATGACAAAAATAAGAACACCTGGCTGAGAAACCATTTGTACATCTTATCTTGACAACTTATTTCTTATTCCGATTACGCGCGGAAAAATATTCCGTTGCAAATTAAAATAATATATTCAACTGAATTATTATTCTCAATAGCCTGTCGGCGTTCCCTGCACAACTCTGAAATATTATCTGTAAGTTTTCTCGCGTCAAGTTGAGACTCAACTGCGCCGTGCCTTTCCATTTTTAACAGCACACCTTTTAAGGGCTAGTCTCCCCAATATCGTGTCTGTCAGCGAAGAAATGTCGACACAGCACTCTGGACAGCTACCGCCTTCTATGAGCGACGGACGACGACAACCAGACAACCGGCTTGTTGGTTGTCTGGTTGCCGCCGTCGCTCATAGACGGCGGCGACCTTTCCAGGCTTTCCACTCTGGCTTGCCGACTTGCGGCCGGCCATTACATCATTCCCACCATAGTACAGCTTCGCTGGTCTTCCTTTTTCACCAGTGTGCAAGGGCTGAAAGTTTTTTCTTATTTGCGCCTCTCGTTGAACTCGAAGTTTAGGGACCACCCAGAAACTTGAGGCCCTCTTGTTTCAGGCTGGCTGTACGAGAGTCGAAGGCTACTGCGGTTCACGGCACGGGTGGCCAACGTCGGAAGTACAACGTTCAAGCCGTTCCTGCCCAAGCACGCCTGGCTGTGGCACTCCTGTCACATGTGGGTCCCTTGCGGCACACAGATACGCGCGCCCATGTTACGGAACTTTAATGATGTACACTGGATCGGTATTGCAAGTTATCAACAAATTGGCAACGTCTATGTAGACCAACTCAACTCTCTGACGTCGTGCCACTGCCGTGGTGCTGCTGTCGGTAATGCGCATGCGCAGATAACTCGCTTCTGGCGAATCAGATATCCGCGCAAGGGCAATGCCCACACCCGGTGTTGGCAAACGCGGGATTGATTATAAACGGTGTGTTGGTGGATAAAACACCCCTTGCGCGGTTGGACGATTGTGAACGTTTTATAGACTATTGCCAGTCCACCGTGTCTCTGCTCGTGCGGGCGATTCTGTGCAAATGCCAAAGCTATGCTCACACGAACGCTTCACGTGCTTGCACACAAGGGGCACCAGTCGCGGCGCAATGCTTGCCATTTTCTATACACACTTTCTTGTCGATGTTTAACTAAATCTCATGGGTTTTCAGAAGTTTACTAACGTCCGGAAGCTACTTGAAATACCGAGATTCCACTCAGATTCCTCACTCAATTACAAACGCGTGTGCACAAAAAGGCTAAGGACATCAGTGTATTATTTGGCTAGAAGGGGAAGTGCGGGCAAGAGATGTACTGCGATTCAACATATGAGGTGCCTCGATGCCAGCTATGCTTCGAGGGTGGAGACACCCATTGATTAACGCGAAGAGGTCGATCTGGCGCGGCGGGCAACATCGGGTCCTGCAGCTTTGCACTGTGTGGATCTAGCTCGTGTGAAGAAAAGCTGTCTTAGGATAATTTGCGAAGTACTCACCCAGGATGGCGCCGGCGAGAGTACCAGAAAATTGACCTAATGTGGCGGGTGCCTCCACGCCTACTGCCCGCAAAGCTTCATCTGAGGGGAGGGCGGTAACAGGGTGGCAGCGCCTCTAGCACTTCTAGAGTTAGTAGGGATAGGTGCTGCAGGTTGGCAGCAGACGCAGACACTCCCTTCGCCGAGCAGGCGTGTGTGTGAGCGAGAGTACAAACGTTTAGAATCACTAGAGTAACTTAGAATCATGAATGCAGCGCGGAGAACAGTTCTGGATATGCTGCTTGCTTTAGGTGATAACATGATGACACTACACTGGGCCATGGCGCGTCGTCAACGCTTGCAGGCACTACCACTCAATGGAGGTGTTTGCCCACTTCGACGTGTTGGACCTGGAAGGCCGTAAGGTGGCCGAGGGCCACAAAGCCAGCTTCTGCCTGGAGGACAACGTCTGCCAGCCGGGAATCGAGAAGACCTACTCGTGCGCCAACTACGGCGACCAAGGGATCTCCATCGGGTGCACAGACACGTACGCCCACAACATTGACTGCCAGTGGGTCGACATGAGCGACGTCGCGCACGGACAGTACATCTTCAAGGTAACCCGACATTTAGACTTGGCGCAGTCAGTGCTGCCCACCGGCTAAAGGATATTTGATTCATGCATTCCACACCATGTGCAAGATCGTCGAAATTCAGGTGCGTCACCGATATTTCGAACTAATGCACCTCTCTCGCAATCTTTTAGAGGGATACTGGGGCTATTTGCTTTAGCTACCCCAACTAACTATATTTTTGGAATCACCGGTATTTACCCTTTCCGATATAAGATTTGGTATCACGAAATTCAATATAGTTATTGAGAAATCGGCAAGTGAGAATGATGCCAAAACCAACATTCAAATTTACCTGTGCTTTTCCGTGCCGTGACATTAGGGGAAGGCAAGTTTGCAGGTCGACCGGGCAGTCTAAAAATGGACTATGCCGAGAATTTTTGTGTTGCTGCTCCTGTGCTGAATTGAGCTTAGAATTCATTTATTTGACTCCATGAAACTACTTGTAATCAGTTGGGAAAAGAGTCTAGAATCCAAAGTGTAAATCTCTGCCTTCCGCTGACGTCACTTTTTCATTGTTGCCCATAGAGACTTGCACTTTAAGAAACACTGTGAGGACCGACATACTATGTAGTAATGAGTGTTCTTCCCTACTTTCAGTGGACTTTGGCTTCCCCCAGGGGTTGGTACTAGCACCTTTGTTGTTCTTGCTATTTATCAACGATATTCCCGACTAGATTTCTGTCAAAATACGCCTTTTTGCCGACGATTGTGTGCTGTATAATGAAGTCAAGTGTGTTGATGACAAAATTAAGCTCGATGATGATTTGGACAATATTTTAAAATGTTATGAAACATGGAAAATTTGTATAAAGTATGACAAAAGTGCGTGTATGTCCATCACTAATGAAAAGAAGGCACTTTCATTTTCCTATCACATAAGCGAACATATCATAAAGAAGTTACTGAATTCAAGTATCTGGGTCTCTGGATCAGTTCCGACCTTAGATGGAATAAACAAATCAGTTTAATTTCCTCTAACGCACTCCGTAGACGACTTTTCTCGCACAAACGCTACAATCAGCCACTTCAGATACTCGACTCCTGACGTACAAGACTTATCCGACCGACCCTAGACTATGGAAACATTATTTTGGACCTCGCATATAACGAATACAAAATAAAGCTGCCAGAATTATTTTTAGTGCCTATAAGAAGGCGCCCATTTCCGTTCCCCGACATTGTTGTGGGCGCCGCCATTTTGGCTCGTATGCAGAGCAGACGCAACTGCCCATCGTTATGATTCAGATGTGCGACTTCCTCAGCATTAGATGCGGTGATAGGAAGGTCATGTAATATTGACTTACTCTGTCGCAAACTCTTTAAACATTTGTGGAGGGCGGAAAAGCGTTTCCTGTGATTTCAGATAAAGCTTCAGATAACTGGCAACCATGAATTTAAGGGGCAATATGGCCAAGTGTCGTTATTCTGAAGCGTAGCTTATTTAGAGGCACTAGGTAAAATGCTTCCCCTGGCAAATAGCGAGCACTCGGCGCGCGCTTGACGTGCGGATTCTTGTCCCCTTCGCGAGCTGCGAGCAATCTTTCCCTATGCCGCTTGTAGATATGAAGTCGGTTGGACGCTTGCCGAGCCGCTCCAACCGATCCGTGGGGAAGTGGTGGAGCGCTTCGAGCGGTCCGGAGTGCTTCTCCGCGGTGCCTTTTTCGGAGGACTACGATCTGTAGTCACTCGGAACATTTCAGTTTTGTCATCAACGTTCCCGCGAAGGAGCGAGGGAGTTTCGCAGCTTTTTGGTTTCGACTACTGGATGGGCTCGCAATTGCTGTACTTTCTTTCGTTAATCTCGTCATGGCCGACTCGACCGAGCCTATAATGCGGCGATGACATCGTTAGAGTTAATTTTAGGAGGTATAATAAAACGCCGTGACAGCGAAAGCAGCGACAGCGACGAAGGTGACGAAGATACCGATTTAGCTCGGGTGACGACGAGGCAACGTACTCGCGAATTATTTGCCGAGTATAGTCTTGCCAGCGAAGAGGCCCAAGATATCGCGTTACGCCGAAGACGTTGTGCGCGCCTATTCGGATAAAGAGCTAGGCATGTCGTTTGTTTGTTGTGTGGTCACTGTAAAGTAATTAGAATAATTAGAAGACAATACGCCAGATACTCCGCAGATAGAAGTCGCCCTTGGAGCTGACGATTGCTTTACGGTATACATGTTTGGTAGTGCTTAATTGCATCCTACGACTCGTAGAAGTACTTCTATAGTCGGTGAGAGGTCAAGAAAAAAGTGAAAGTTCCTCCCACACCTTTCCAGTTCAGCGGAGCGAACGGTGGAGAGAAAGCGACCTCCCCTTCAGCATTCGCTCTACTAAAGTGGAAAGGGGTGGGAGGAGCTTTCACCTCGTTCTTGACCTGTCACCGACTATAGTGGTGATCATCAAGTTTATATAACTAAGGAAAAATAAATTTTGTCTTAACGTCGGGACCACCACTACTCAACTAGTAAACAATCTGGGGTGCTTCCTATCCGGGGTTCATTCTTTCGGAAAGATAGCAATTTATTTATTTATTTCAAAATACTGCCAATCCCCGAAGGGATTATTGCAACCATTGGTACATAATAAAACGATACATGTGAGGCATTTAACAACAAATGAACAACACTTCTCGTCATTCAAATCATCTAATAATTACGAAAAAAGTTCATCTTCGACTGCATTGATAAATGATTCAACAGTGCCGTGACTGAACACGTGTGCATCAAGGCTATTCCAGATTCTAATGGCAGAGGGAAAAAATGAGTGTTTAAAAGTGTTATTATAAAACGAATAGTCAACAAGTGTATGGCTGTGCTTGTGTCTAGTCGGTCTTGTGTTAGACAATTAAACGTACTTGGATGAGTCAACCTTAAAGGCGCCTTGTAAAAGAAGGTAAAGAAATTTCAGACGATTTAATGTTGCGAGGTCAGTAATGGTCTCTAAACCTGCTCTTTTCAAAAGCTCTGTGGGGGAGTCAAAACGGCAATACTTGCGATAAACAAACCTAATTGCCTTTCTCTGAAGGCTTTCAAATGTGTTTATGTTTATCTTCGTGTGAGGGAACCAGGCAATATTTCCGTATTCAAGCACTGGACATGTAAGGGTTTCATATGCAAGGAGTTTTGTTTCACAGGACGAAGATTTTAAGGTTCTCTTCAGAAAGAATACTTTCGTGAGAGCTTTATTAAATACATATTTAACGTGTGCGTTCCAGTTAAGATCAGATGTTATCAAGACTCCTAGGCACTTATACTCGGTGACTCTATGCAAAGGTTCATCTTTAAGGCTATATTGAAACTGGGAGACATTAATTTTCTTTCTCGTAAAACTCGTGGAGACTGTTTTTCTTTGTTAATCATCATTTGCCAGTCATCGCACCAGCCTGAAATCTTTTCGAGAGATTTGTTTAGTAGGATGTGATCATCTTGGTTCTTAATTTCTTGATATATGATACAATCGTCACCGAATAATCTTATGTTATTATCAATGCCATCTGCTATGTCATTTATGAAAAGAAGAAATAAAAATGGAGCTAAAACGGAACCTTGTGAGACGCAAGGTTCCGTTTTAGCTCTACAGCAACTGGTCGCTTACTTTGTCCATCGTAATAAACAAATTGGAAACGATTTCGTAAGTAGTCTTCAATCCATGCAATTATCGGTCCTTCGCCCATAACATGTTTAAGTTTTATTATCAGTTTGTCGTGGGAAACGCGATCAAACGCTTTCGAGAGATCCAAAAACACTGCATCTACCTGACTTCTGTTGTTTATGCCCATCGTGAAATCGTGAAGAATCTCAATTAGCTGTGTAACTGTCGATAGTCCACTCCTAAATCCATGCTGATGTGGGAACAAGATATTGTTATTTCTTACAAATGATGTCATGACTTTGAGAATAATATGCTCGAGAAGTTTGCAGCTGGTGCAAGTAAGTGATATGGGCCTAAAATTTGAAGCTAGAGCCTTATCGCCAGATTTATGTATAGGAATTACTTTCACAACTTTCCATTTGGCGGGTACCGAAGGAAGGAAGAGAGACTTGTTAAAAATTAGCACTAAATACTTGCTATCCCATTCGGCGTATCTTTTAAGAAACATATTCGGAATTTCGTCAGGACCGTTACCTTTTTCGGTGTCTAAATTGAGTAAAAGTGCAAATATGCCTGGTTCCGTAACTATTAGGCTTCCAAGTTCTTTAGCAGTGCTGCGTTGTGGTAGAGTTAAACTGTCATTACCATCATCAGCTGTAAATACCGACTTAAAATAATTGTTAAATTCATCTGCCATTTTTTGTTTCTCTATGGAGCTCATACAATTCATTTGAGACTTTTTTGGGTTAGCGTGGTTTCAAAATTTCCGAGGTGACGTTTCCATGAACTCGTGAAAGGTCACATTATGGTACTTATATTTGGCTTCTGTAGTTTTTAATTTAAGAAGTTTAGAGTGCTCTGAAATCTTTGCTTTATAGTCGGTGTTATCCTGGATAGAGTGTATTTTAGATGATTCCCTTAGCCGCTTGAGTTTGCGTTTCAGGTGGATAATTTCTTGCGTGATCCATGGGTAGTGCTTTCTTGTGATTTTTTCTTTTTTTTGGAACGAACTGTGTAACGCAGTGCGTGACAATTGATTTAAACTCGTTCCATATGTCGTCACTACTGACATCTATCTTATCACAAAGTTCACGGAAATCATAAAATCTATGGGCAAGGTAGGTTAATATACACGCGTCATCGGCACTGTTGAAATCAAGTACAGTTTTGATGGTGCCGTATGAGAATCTAGATGCACGTATAGGTGTGGTTCATATAACTGCTTTATGGTCGGATATGCACGTTACTACTTCAACATCGATTTGCCTCTGGGGGAAGTGGTGACTAAGAAATACAAGGTCAAGCAAACTGCTGTACGTTCCCTGCACCCGTGTTGGCTCTCTTACGATTTGTGACTGATTAAACGCAAATAACATGTCTAATATTGCATCAGAGGTAACAGTGCCAAGTTGCAGCGAATCCCAGTTTACCTCAGATATATTAAAATCACGAGCCATAATAACCGTCTGATTTTTAATGTGTTGTTGCATGTAATCATACAAGTAGTACAGACACTTGTGGTTGGAGTTTGGAGGCCGATAAACAACACCTACAACAACAGAATATTCATCGAATGACACTTTGCACCATAAAGATTCAATATTTTTCACATCAGGCATATGTTCGTAGGGGATACCTCGTTTTCGAAGTATTGTTACTCCGCCACCTCTAGTCGTTCTGTCTTATCTCAGAATGATGTAATTTGGCGGGACAATTTCGCTATCAAGTATTGAGGGATGTAACCACGTTTCTGTGATTGTAACTATGTCTGGATTAAATTTTAAGAGAAGGGACTCCAATGCGTATGCTTTATTTTGAAGACTCCTTGCATTTATATTTACGACTGTAAGCTTAGATGGTAGAATGTGGCTTTCGGTTAGTTTTCGTCGGGAACATCGTTTTTTTCCACGGGAATTATGTCTTGTTTTATCTCATCCTACGCATAGAGATGCCCATTTATGCGAACCTTATCATATGTTAAGAAAACTTTTTCTCGCTTATCTCGGTTTGCTTTAGTGTGTCCCAAAGCTTTTTACGTATTTGCTGTACGTGTCGGGAGAAACCTTCACCGATTGAAAAATGTGTTCCTTTCAGTTGGACGCAGTTTTTCAGCATCTTTGATTTATCTCTGCTGTCCAGTAGTCTGAGTATGACTGGTCGGATCTTGTTGTCACCCTGTATCCCGAGGCGGTGAATTCTTTCGATGCCTGCTATTTGTACGCTTAGGATTCTCTCGAGAATTTCACCTACGACTACTCTTTCGGGTGTCTGTCTGTTTTCGTTCTCTTGTTCTTTAATACCGTAGACAATCAGATTCGACCGTCTACTTCAATTTTCTAAGTCGTCTACCTTTCTGGTAATAATTGTAACAGTCGTGTCAAGTTCAGTTATTCTCTCCCGACATGCTCTGACGTTCTTCTGAAGCGTACTGAGACTTTCCAGTTTGTGCTCGATTGCAGAAAGTCTGTCATTTGTTGTAGCCTTTTCATTTTTAATTTCCTGTATGTCCCGGGCGATTTCTTTCAGTTGCTGCAAAAAGGCGCCTGTTTCTGGGCCAGGGTTGACCTCGACATCCCCACTCAGCAAAAGTAGCATTCTCAGAGAGAAAAGCAGATCGCACAACCACAAGTAACAGGACCGTGGGCACGGCAGAAAAATCAAGCAAACATGATTGCTACGTTAGGACTTGCCAAATCGTTTGCTTACCTAGACGAGAAAGACGAATGGGTTGTTAGCCCTCATGTTGGCAGTGCTGCCGTGCCCAATGTCGAGGAGTGTCTCGCTGCGCCGTTTTATAGCCCGAAACGGTGATGTCACAGTCGAAGAAAAAAGTTCATAAAAAACGAACGACTGATTCCAGGTTCGAAGATAGATGCTTGCTGTCGTTTAGCGTCGGTGCGATTCCCTTGATGACGGAAGGAAACGGGGTGTTGCGGCGCGCAGCATCGCTGCCCATGTTCAGCTCGTTGACTGGCACCAGCACAATGTCAAGCAGGATCTGGACGAGAAAGACAAATGGGTTGTTAGCCCTCATGTTGGCAGTGCTGCCGTGCCCAATCTGCTGCCGAACCCAGTGGGAACCGAAACTGCCAAGAAGCGGGGGCAGACACTCTGAGAGCATTGGCGCTGGGAGCCTTACGCTCGATTTGCTCCGTAACGCGTGCCACTGGGGTGGATCACGTGACCAATCGCTCACGGAAGCCGACCGCTCAGCGACCGCTAACGCGGAGCGCTCGGGATCTGCCAGGGGAAGAAGCTAAAAGTATAGAAACTCGAAATAAAAATTAAGTGTTCCTTTTTTAGGTTTTTGGAAGATGTAACGAGTAACGTAGTTACGTTACCCGTTACCAGTAATAGGGAGTTTTTGTAGACCGCGTTTCCCCCTCCGATAATCACTCCGCAACGAAGAAACCACTATTGAGCCTGCGCGACAATGGCCTTAACTGTTGAGTTCCGGGTATCGTAGAGGGTTGCGGAGAGTGTTGCAGGAAGGCGAAAACGATCTACGAAACTTCTCTAATAAGTAACGCAAGTACCTTACCCGTTACTGTTTTCAAAAAGTAACGAGTATGTTATTACAAGAAAAGTAACGCGCTACCGGTAACGACGTTACATGTAACACGTTAGTGCCAACGCTGGTCGCAACACATAAAAACGCGGAGACTAAAAACGCAAGGTGCGACACATTCTTCGCATTTGATTGGATCAGTTGGGAGTAACACAAGGCGAGAAACAAAAAAAAAATGAAAGACGTTTATAACACCCTGTAACGCCGAATTAGAGAGCAGCCCTTGAGGAGGAGGAGGGAAGGGTACTTAGGGAAGGGCACACCCCCCCACCTCCTCCTCACCTCCTCATTCTCCCTGTTACTCCTCCTCCCCTCCCCCTTCTCCTCCTCCTACTCCTTCACCTCCCCCTCTTCCCCTCATCCTACAACATCCTCCCCTCCTCTCCTCCTGCTCCCCTTCCTCCTCCCTCCTCTCCTCCTCCTCCCCTCTTTCCTCCTTTTCCCCCTCGTCCTACCCCTCCTCCTTTCCCTCCCTCTCCCCATCCTCCCCTTCCCGCTCGTCTTTTCCGCACGATGCATCATGGGAAATGTCTCATAATGCACCGCGCGGGACCCTCGTGACGTCACGTGTGACGTCATGGGTCCCGCCCGTTGCATTATGGGACATTTTCCATAATGCACCGCGCGGTTGCGCCGATGGCCACGGTGACGCCGCTCAAGCCGGAAAGGGGAGCCTAAAAGCTGCGCCCTGAAAGAAGACCACGAGAGGCTTGGCTGACCCCATTGACTCGTAGCGTTGGTAGTGCTCGGTTGTAGGTGAACATAGGATATTGCACCGCCCTCTCTGAGAACGGAGCCTCATGCCTCGACGCGCATGGGCGCATATCCCGCGCAGGTGTCCATCAACCCGGAGTACAAGATGGCCGAGATAAGCTACGACAACAACGCGGCCCTCTGCGACCTCACCTACACCCAGACCTTCGCTGCCGTCACCAACTGCACCTTGGTTCGGCCGTGAACTATGAGGACTCGTCCTCTTGCGGCGCCCAACTTCTCAACGGAGCACAACCAAACAAAACTGTGACGAAGGCAGTTGTGAAACGCTTACGCCCTCGCCCTATTAAGCGCAGAAACAAAGAACAGTGCTTGCAGACGTAACGAATACTCATAGACCTTTGTAAGGGCTGTCTTCGCAGATAAATCGGCCTCCGCAAGTACCTTACCCGTCACTGTTTTCAAGAAATTACGAGTGTGTTATTATATTACAAACGCGCGCTACTTGCCGGGGGCAAGGGACGCCTCTATTAATTGCCCTCTGTACGCTGCCATCTTTTATACTGCGCTGTGGAACGCATTCTGGACATGTGAAGTTCAGCTAGTGGCATGATATAAGAGCGGCACGAAGGTCTTTAAGATGTTCCGCCTTCTGCGCAAGTTTTCCGCCTTTTATGGTACTTCAGCGTCTCTTGATCTTCGAACATGCACGCTCTGCCAAAGGATGACGGAAGGCAACGAGCCCGTTCGGATTGTATAATAGCTGGTCAACTCGAAAAAGACGACCTGCGTTTCCTGTCCTTTCAGTGATTAAAGCTCTGTTTGCGGAATATGGGCGCCAGTGACTCGACACTTTTCGCCTGGTCTAAGTTATGACATAGCCTCCTCTATACTCACAAAGCCTGGCAGTTCGACGACGGAGCCATAAAGTGCCCGGTCGCAGATTTGGAGCGCGAGGATCTGGTAGCACAGAGCATCGAAGAGCCATCTCTTGGGGAATTTGGACGTCAGCGTACAAATTTTGCAACGGCGAGAACTCGAAACACACTTGTTCGCTTGGGAGAAGTGTGTTTCGGCGTCTCGCCGCAGCGGGACGCCAATCACGTGGATCTCTTCTCATCCTTTGTCTGCCGCTCCACATTTTCCCTTTTGGCGGCCGCTTCTCGTGGCGATCTGCCAGGCTTTGTCAGTATATAGGAGCATATATGGTGATGAGCGCTGGAAATATGTATGACCTGTTACGCGGTTAATGTTATTTGTTATAAACCGCTTCTGGGGGCAACCTTAATTTTTCCCAAATACTGGGACGACAAGAGAAGCGCCTTCAAACTGAGGCCTGCTTTTTTGTGAAGAAACCCCTTCGGCAATTTTTATGTTATTTTATTTTACGCGTGGGAGTTACCAACTGGCACCAGAAGAGCGCATTGTGAACCGGTGGAACTCTCGAAGATTGTTCGTGTCGCCAGGTTTATCGAATGTCGGCGACCAGCGCTAGTTGGTTGTTCAAGTGTTTCCACGGCGGAAACCTTATGAATCTTATCAGGCTTATAAGCTACTGACGCAGCAAATTCATAACTTCTTTTTAGGGTGAAAGTCTGTAGACATTCGTATACTGAATGTCTGCAGGCTCCCAGAATGCTTCCAAGGTATCGCATTCCAAAGTCTACTCCGGAGGCCCAAATTAAAGCCTTGATATCAGTTGTGCTTCTTCCGTACTCATACCACCCAGATTATTTACTAGCATGTGTAACGGAATTATGATCATAGGGGTCGTCCTTATGCATTTCTTGTAAATTTGTGGGAGGTTTAAAAGACCAGCTTTGCCGTGTTCGTGGATTTACCTGTATACGGAGTGGCTACCTCACGCTGTAAAACGAACCGAAAAAATCGTCACCTGCATATAGAAATCTCAAACTTTCTTCAAGTGTGCAATCAGGGGGTTGGTTTTAGCTTGTGAAATATTAAGGCGTAGTTATTTTTCTGTAAAACGTCAGACCAACGAACTTATCAAAGCCAACGGCGAACGTGTTAGCAGACAGTGAGTTAAAGGGATGCTGAACCGAAATCTGGATTCCCCAAAACACGCGGCGAAAGCGTGCGACGGGATGCTACAAACACTAAAACATCACTCATACAGCGATATCTCGAACGGATGACCGTATTTTTTTTTTTTTTTTTAAAAAGAGTCGCATTTGGCAGGAATGTTGACGTCATGTTGCTCCGAAAAGGAGAGGGAACGGCCTCGCGTCTTCTCCGCCTCGCGGCCTTCAGGGAGCGAAGCGGAGAGAGAAGGACACTAGGTATCTTGACGTCACCCACCTCGTCGGCCTGGTTCAATCTCGACTTCATTTTCCAAAAATACGGCCGTCCATTTGAGATATCGCCTTACTAGTAGTGTTGTAGGGATTGTAGCGTCCCGCCTACATCTCCAGCATTGTTTTTTTTTTTTTTTTTAATCCAAATTTCGGTTTATTATCCCTTTATCGAGGAATGCAACTTGTGGCGCCCTCTCCCGAATGGCGCCACAAGTTTAATTCATCGGTAACTTTGTCGTCTGCGAACGCGTCCACCATTCACATTAACAAGTTCGTTGGCTTAATTTTTTTTTTTTTTTTTTAAGATAACTGGGTGTTTTTCGATAATTTTGGCCGACCACGTCCGAGGACCATTTTTAATTTTGATGAAAAAAAATATTTTGTTGACTCAACGTCCACCAAACCCAACGGACGTTTGTTGTTGTTTCTTGGAAAACAAAAAGTCATTACGAAAATTAATTAAAAGCACACTCAAGCCTGATTCAAATGCTACGATTTTTCTTGCGATTATGCAGTTGGAACGTCGCCCGTGCGGCAAAAGAAAATGTTGGGAGAAGCTGCGGTGCACGGTGTCGCAGCTTCGAATTCGGAAGCAATATCGCATCATTTGAATCTGGATTAAGTTTGAAGCGCTTTCTGCGGATTGCGCAAAGCTGCATTTTGGGCACCTTCCCTAAAATGACTGCCGTGGCTATGGGTCTAGAAATATTTACTGGCAAATTAACTTTATGGAGGATTCACCCAAGGTACTTACCACGGAGTATCGACGTTGTTTAGAAAGAAAAATATCAAACACGGCACATTGCGCAATAATGCTTAACTCTGATATGTCCCATTACGCGAAAAGGCGGCGTCCGCTGTGCCCGAAAGATGGCCATAAAAATACGTCATCGAGCGCGCGCCGCTCAAGGTCAAAGCCGAAGCGCCACAGAAATAGAACACAAAGAAAAGCACAGCAACGCAGATGCTTCGTCACAGAAGCTGTGAAGCCGGCGGGGGCGCCGTGCCTGCGCAGTGGGGGATTGTGATGTCACCGCCGGAGTGCCGTGTGCAAAAGGAAGGCGTGGCGCGCTGCTTTCGGTGCGTCAGTTGCGCTTCGGACTTCATCTGTGCTCGTTGTGTGCCTCGTGCGATGGACTGTGAGGTGACCGCATCTACATCTACGGCCTCGACATCGACAGCAGTGTCTGCATCTACGGCGCGCACACCAAATAAAATACCGGCTGAAACAACTTTATACGCGTAGAAACATTATTAAAAAAAATCTCACCCCCGGGACTATATAGTGCCTTTTGCATTTCTACATCTAAGCAATCTTAAAACTCTTTGGCGTGTTTTTTTTTTCTTTTTCTTTTTTTATATATATAAGTCTTAGGATTTCTAAATTTTGCCAGCATTTCCTCTCGTTACACTTTGAGCTGAATATTGTTGTTCTGGTTAGTGGTATAACTTTAAGGAAAACAACTCTCAAATGATGTCATTTTACTAAATGCAGATTAATTCGGACATCAGTTACAGAAGTGCCATCTTCGATTTTTTTTCACTCTTTCAATTTACGTTCAATGATATGTACGAACAAAATCTGCAAAAATATGTTGCCTTACTTTTGGTAGTTGAAGTTCTAAGGCGAGCAATAAGATCAAATTGGGCTACCGCAGTGCTGTGAGATGGCGCCACGTGTACATATCCATACTTGACAAGGTCAATATTTTTACAGCGTTAAACCGCACGGGGGGGGGGGGGGGGGGGGGGGGGCGGTCAGAAAGAACCAAATTGACGGCACAGAGGACGACGGCGGGTTTGAAGTGAGACTTGTAGGTGCGTTATTGCACTACAGTCGCAAAAAATGCGCATGGGCCGGAACAATCGAGATGCGCAGTCATGTTGCATGCTTCCTCTGCGTACGTCATGGAAAGAAAGTTGCGGCTTGCTAGCCGACGGCATGTGTCCATCGAACGCACTCAAGTCAAACTCCTGACCCGAGAAATCTCTGCCGCGGGCAGGGCATATCGACACCAGACTTGTACGTAATCCGTCACAAGTAACGAAATTAATTTTAATCCCTTATATTTATCGGTAATTTAGTAACAGAATAATTACATATTTTCTTGAGTAATTTTAAAGTAATTCCCTAATATGTTTTACGTAACGGATTCGTTGTGATCCGTTACATTTTTTTTTTCAGGACCAGCACCCCCCTTCTAAAAAAATGTCATTTTTATTTTAGTAAAGTTCAGCGGCAGTGACACCGTCACGCGAATTGACCAGCGCAAAGGGAGGCTTGGCACTCTTCAGTTCCGCAAAGCCCTTTTTGTAACACCAAGCTACTGAATCGTTTTTTTTTTTTTTTCACCCTAACGATATTAAAAGATCCAAATAAACATTTCTACAAAAAAAAAAGGGGGGGGGGCAGTTGTATCCGCTCTTTTAAATGCCTTCTTGATTTCTTTTTTTTTTCTTTTTGATCGAGGGCGGGGAGAGGAGGACACCTAGAGATTGTGTGCCTTTTCGAGAAGCTCGAGGCGGTAAGTGCACAGACAAGAATTAAAAATGTCCTTCTCGGTTATAGTGACTACGACGATTTTCATGTCACCCGAGACAACCCTCCGTCTGTCTTAAAATCCACTAAAAAGAATGTGATAATATGCGTAGGTATCATTGCTACAAGCGTATTTTTCTGCTTCTTTCACCTTATTTGACCCAGTATTAAAAGCTACTTACTTTTTTGTAGTCCAACTTCTAGGGTTGGCTCACTTTATTTGTGAATTCCAGCCAGGTTATCTGCACCTCCGTCACCCTTTTTGTGAGTCAGCTTTTTGCGGGCACTTCGAAAATGGCAGCAATCTTCCTTTCTCTTCCTGTTTTTACCCCAGCAGGACGCATATTATCTCAAGCAGATATGTTTACAAATAAAACATAATGGTGGCTGACGTAGACTTGATATTCTGGGCTTGAGGAGAGAGTGAAACTCGCGAGCCGAGCCGTAGCGCGGCTTACTTAGTACTCTACACTTTGCTGCCCATGGCATCAGCGGACGTCTATCTTGAGTACACCGGAGTAAACTGCAGTCGGTCCGTGCTCCGTGCGTTTTTGAACGGCACCAAGAAAGGTACACGAGGCGAACGTGCCTTTACATTTCCTTGTTTTAACCAACGTTCTATTTAATTGTTGTTATGAGTGTCCTGGCTATTTTTTTTTCTCGATTACTTATATTTATATATTGGAAACTCTTATTCACTTGCGTTTCAACCGAGGCTCGACCTGTTCAGAACCAAAGAAAAAAGAATATCGCGCCAAACCTTATTTATTATTTAATTAGCACTTTACTGTTACCAACTCTACTAAAACTCTCGAATATAAGGCAAAGGGTGCAGCGATGAAGCTTTGCTCTATCTTCGAGCTAAATAGTACTTCCATTGCTTCTCTGAAAAAGCTCAATGCAGAGCATTAAATATTTGTGAGGCACAATATGGAACACCCATCCAGTGCCTCAGCTCAAATGGTGTTCAGCGTAGCA